ATATATATCGTCACAAACAGAACTGCCCGGTAAACCGTAGGCAGAGAGAGAGAAGAGGACAACAAACGAGGGGCTGTGACAAACTGTTTTGTCGGAGTTTCACCGACTCATCAGGAGGCTGAACCCTCAACAGTCTGCAGAATATATATATATATATATCAATTTCAGTGAGCATAACATGTACACAAGGGTAGGGCACCCTCTGCTTCTGGTCAGAGAAAATACAAGGCTTTCCAATAAGGGGGGAAAAAACAAGAGAAGAGGAAAGGAGAAGAAGATGAAGTTATAAACTATTATAAAGAAAACTTAATGTGGCCGTGCTGGACCCAAAAAAACTTCCGCCTGGCCCCAGGCACAGCTTGGGGCGTGCCCCCTAACTTTTAGGAGTGAGTCATTTTGGTTCCCAAAAAGAGGCTCAGATGTACTTGTGGTTTAATGTATCCGACGGCAATTACAGCTGGACCTGGATGCATCTGGCAGCAATCACGTCCAGAGCTGAGTCGAAAAAGATATAGTATGAGTACTATGCCCTTGGAAGTTAGAACAGAACAAACAATGGAAATTTTTACTTGTCTACTTGCTAAGTTGCTACTCACCACCAGCGCACGCCCTTCTTCTGTGACCCATCTTGCTAGTGCAATTTCCGAATGCTTCATTGTAGCCCGGGCTGCGAGTGCCTGCCAGGGATGGCATGCAGTACAGAGAAAGTCAAGGTATATCATAAATCACGACCATCTTCATTAAGAAAGATTGACATGAAAAGCAAAAGAAGATAACCGTAAAATTATATATATATATATAATATAGTCAAATTATCTCAAATATATATATTATATAGTCAAACAGAGCTGCCCAGTAAACCGCAGGCAGAGAGGGAGAACAGGACAACAAACGAGGGGCTGTGGCAACCTGTTTCGTCGGAGTTTCACCGACTCATCAGGATATATTCTGCAGACTGTTGAGGGTTCAGCCTCCTGATGAGTCGGTGAAACTCCGACGAAACAGTTTGTGACAGCCCCTCGTTTGTTGTCCTCTTCTCCCTCCCTCCCTCCCTCTCTGCCTACGGTTTTGTTTGACTATATATATTATATATATATCGTCACAATATATATCGTCAATAGTGTATAGTCAAACAGAGCTTCCTGGTAAACCGTAGGCAGAGAGAGAGAAGAGGACAACAAACGAGAGGCTGTGGCGAACTGTTTCGTCGGAGTTTCACCGACTCTGCCTAGGGTTCAGCCTCCTGATGAGTCCGTGAAACTCCGACGAAACAGTTTGTCACAGCCTCTCGTTTGTTGTCCTCTTCTCCCTCTCTGCCTACGGTTTACCGGGCAGCTCTGTTTGACTACGCATATCGTCATAGAGAACCTCCCAGTGAACAGTAGGCAGACCAGGAGAAAAGGACAACAAACGAGGGTATATTCACACTCTTATTTAAATACTTGAAGATAAGCTTTTTGTTATTGAACCTAGTGCAAGCTGAGTCAGAAATGGCCGCAGCCCCAGAAAACAACAAACAGCAATCTCTGTATTTCATGATGTATCAAAGGGACGCTGGACCCGGTTTCCAGCCAAAAAAAAAAAAAAAGGAGTCTGGAGGTGGAAGAATGGGAAAGACCACCTGAGGCGAAGGGAGGTGGAGGGATATGGAAGAAGGCGGAGGGAGGCGGAGAGAGGCAGAGGGAGGCGGAGGACGTGTGAGAGGGTGAGAGGTGAAGGAACGGTACAGTCAGTGGGGGCAGAGGAGGGAGGAGTAGGGTGGAGGGGACAATTCATGCGGGAAGGGGAAAGGCTGCACACAACATAGGAAGGGGGGTAAGTGGTCGGGGGAGGTGGGCGGATGAAGAGGAAGGAGGCACGAGGTGGAGGAAGATACCTAACAAGAATGCCGGGATGGACCGGTACCGATTACCAAATGTTTTTTTTTTCAGCCATTTCAAGAAATGTTGCGTTCAGCCATCGGTAGGGTCAATTGTGGTGTTCTTTTTGGGTACCCACCTCTACTGTGCCGCAATCTAATGACCCACACTGCTTGCCGATCATTGTCTAGACTGACCAACATACAACCCAGGTTTCTCAGTAACGCGTTCCCAACAACGGCCCTGGATCGCATGCTGATCAGCCTGCAAAACAATCCACGTCGCATCCACGGCCCGGCATTGCGAAATCAAACTGCATGGAGCGGTTGGTACCCACCTGTGCAGCTTTAGCAATTCCTACTAACCTAGTGATATCTTACCTCCACACCATCAACCATCAGTGCTACTACGTGCGCACGCATCAGATTGCGTCGAGCATCCATAGCACTCAGAGATGTCGGCCCGACTTGGAGCAGGGTCCTGTGCATCCATCCTGCCGTGTCAACCTGCATCACGATTGGCAAACGAATACGAGCAGGACGTTTGCGTTTCCCGTTACTAATCACAATCGCTGCCATTGCCTCTATCATCATCACACAATGACAAATACGATCACATTATGTTCAGCATGTTCCTCAGT